CTTTCTATAGCCAAAACCTTGTTTTGCTTTTTGCTGTTTATTTTATGTTCTTAAAATTTATAAAAATAAATCTTCATACTCTTATATTAAGTATTGAAGGCACTTGCTGGCTATTTCCAGCCTTGTCAGTTTGCAGGTGTCTAACTTCTTTGAAATAGTTAATAGGCAATTAGAAGGCAGTTAGCAAGGGAAGTGTACAAACTTAGTGTCTTTTTGTGGCTTGAGCAAGGCTCCATTTGTGGCTTGAGCAATTGTGGAGAATTCCCAGTCTCCCAATTTCCCCTTTCACCTGAGGTCACTGCCTTGTGGTCTCTCTGTGAGGAAGAGGAACAATTTTAGGAAGAGAAACATCTTGGGCAGTTTCTCAGTCTCTCTCTTTTATCCAGAGAGGTTTATAGGAGCCAATACGTTAATCGGCTCCTTATAAAAGTCCACAGATGTTGGCTCCGCTTTACATGGAGCTGTCTTCAGTCTGCCATCTTCCCCAGGATGCCAGATTAGGCCATCTTCATTCAGAATTACTCCATTTTTTCTTTTAGTTTCACAGATTACAATATGCCTATTTTCATTTCATTCCCTTTATCATTTACTGTTCTTACATTCTAAGTCACACTCTTTCATGTGCTTTGTTCATCCACAGGTGGGCCTTAGATTCTGACTCTGCCGCCTACCATGTCTTTGGTCAATTAAGTCTTTTACATAATACTTTTTAGTAAGAAAAGATTAGGTTAGTTTTATGTGGGCTACATGCAGTGTTCTCTGCATATACAGTAAGACATATGCTGGTCAGATAATGTTTTTCAAGTATTTCAAGCTACATATGTAATGTAAAGGATTTTAAATAGATGGATTGGAAGAAGATCCAACAATCCTGAAAAGTTATTGTAGGTTTTAATAGACAGTTCAAACTACTGTATAGATCCTTGTACAGTTGGATATAAACTGATGTATTTTTCTCTCTAGTTCCGCTGTTGTTCTCGAATTCTAACTAGGCCAGCTTCCCTATCTTTATTGAGCAGGCCAGAGACTCAGACTGTGCAGGTAAGTATAAACAATAATTGTTAGTATTATACATCACATTCTGAAAGTATGGAAATGGGCTATTTGATCCTTGGATCTATAGGATACCACAGGCCTCTTTTTATAGTATTTCTGCAAACTGGGAGCATGAGAAGAACTGTATTTATATATTCCACAACTTACACACATCAATGTTGGCCTCCTCAAAAGGGAGGCAATGTCACTATAGGAAACTATTCTTTCCATATAGTCAGGAGTGTTTAATGTTACTGACGTAGTACTGGAAAGAAGAAGGTGCCCATCCTGATGTTGCAATTTTCCCCCCCAGCTTTTTCAGCTGTTACAGCACTGAAAATTGAAAAGGTATCCTAATGGCCATCTTCTCAGCTGGTCTCTCTTTCCTCTCACTATCAGTATAAAATTACTTTGAATTAGATGGGACATGAATTTAAACTTTCAAGGACCATTTAAAAAAATATTTATTCATTCAGTTTTGATGCTGCCTGACTCCAATTGACTCTGTAGTTATTATTCTTGTTTAATTGCTTTCCTGGAGTTTCCTCTTAAACTTAAAGATGGCACAATAAGGATTTCTTATATGTATAAATAGTACAAGTGTATCTATATAGTACTGAGGCTTTCAGAATCTGCATATTTGTAGTTTTGTGGTGGCTGTCATCTTTAAACAGGCACAGATGAGGTCAGGATTTTCTAAGATTTTCAGTAGGGAGTTTGACTAGTAGAAAGTTAACCTTTGTTTTTGTTCTACTCTGTGATCCAGCAGTAACTCTGAGTTGGCTTTCTGTGTTGTATTATTATGGACCTCCAGTACTTAGAAACTTTGAGGAGCCTTTAGTTCTCCAGATGCTGTTGAACACCAAGCTCTATCAAAACTTACTATTATTTGTGCTGGCTGGGAATGATGGGAGTTAGAGGCCAACTCCATCATGAAGGTTATATTTTACCTTTGGCTAAAAGTTTGGCAAGCCATTAACCTTGTTGCTGTTTCCTTACCCCTCACATCTTTCCTGGATATGTCCTAAGACATTATTAGGTAACAGCTGGATTATGAGTTTTTGAATAAGGAAAACTGTATGGAACTTTCAGGTGTTTGGCTCAAACTGTGCTAATTATTTGCTCATTTCACAGCCTTTTGACTTTTCCACCCGTCAGCTGACCCATCGGGAATTCCAAACCAGTGCTGTCTCCCGTGATATTGATACAGCTGCTAAGTTCATTGGTGCTGGTGCTGCTACGGTGGGAGTAGCTGGCTCAGGAGCTGGGATTGGAACAGTGTTTGGCAGCTTAATCATTGGTTATGCCAGGTAAATTAACATGGAAAAACTACTTATATGAAGTAAGAAACTATTTTAGGACCTTTATCCACAAATAAACCCATCTTCTAAGAATCAAATTTTGCTGACAGTTGAGAGATACTAGAAGAGAGTACTGGATTCTGAATGGAATTTTGTTATCAAATGTCTTGCTGATGACATACAAATATCATTCCCAGATCTATTGATTATATTAAATCAATTTTTTTTGAGGTCGGTAACCAGCACAAAATGAATATAAGAGTAGGCCTAAAAATGAGAATAAAATAATTAAAATAAGTAACACTGGGTAAGTATGAATCAGTAAAACTAAAAAAAATTGTAAAGGTAAAAAACCAAAATTTATAGCCACACAGAACCTGGCTACATTATGTGTTGTCTCAGGGTTGGTTTCAGATAGCAGAAACTGTACATACTGTCAGGTAGTAAATCCTGAAATACTATTCAGAAGTGGATTAATTAGGGCTGTGCAAGGTTCCCTGTAAAATTGAGAATAGAAGAGGGCATGCTCAATAGATTCTACCTGCCCTGACTCATAGCAGTATACTTGTAATGGTGGTGATATCTTCTTGTATATCTTCCAGCACTTCTGAAAGGAAAGTGCTGCATCAGATTAGGGTGAAAGCTGTTCTCTGTCTCAGGCCATCAAATTGCTGGAGAAATGCCTCTAATATGATGTATCCGCTGATTAAGAGACGCACTTTCTGGGAAATCATAAAAGCAGTTCCAAAGCATCCAAGGCATACCTTGTCTTAAACATGTGCTTTTGCCACCTGGGGCATTGCCTCTTCTTTCACAAAATAATTATCTTTTTGTTCTATTGCTATTTTCTTCAGTCTATATAGCATTGAAGTGTACCTTTCTCTGAGTTGCTACTTATGCCATCTAGATGCATACATTTTAGTGAGGAAGGGGGAATATTATACATGCATGTGTTCTTATACCTTTGAAACAAAAAGTTTGTCTTTTTTGAAAACAGATAAAGCATTTTGCATTTAGGAACATCTTTTACTGACTTTTTAATTAATGTGGATACTGAGATCATATTCAGGTTTCAGTTGAAGTGGTCCTTATTCTAAGAAAGATAATTCCAGCTTCATTCCCATATCTCCCATTCACTCTAGGCACAAGGACACCAGGAGAAAAGCTAAAATATGTCATATGCTGGCAAAACAAACAGGTTTCCATGGATATATAGCCTTCATTTAGATAGGAACAGAATTATGCAAGCATTCCTAACATTTTAAATGAGTTACAGTCAAGTACCTATGATCTATGCTGCTTAACTTTTCAGTGTCCATAATGGATTGGGAAACGTGTAACATTTTATTCTGGAGAATCCAATAGGAGTTTATGTTACAGGCTTTTCTTTTGTTTTCCACCTACAGGAACCCATCCCTCAAGCAGCAGCTGTTTTCTTACGCTATCCTCGGTTTTGCCCTTTCAGAAGCCATGGGGCTCTTCTGTTTGATGGTGGCATTCCTCATTTTATTTGCCATGTAAAAAGCTTTGGAACCACCCTGCAGCTGCTGTCCTCTCAGTTTAAGCCTGCTTCCCTCACTGGGGTGTTAGAAATCTAAACAAACTTTAAATAAAATACAATTCAAGTTTTTTTGGTTTTTGTCTTTCATCATTCTTTCTTTACGCTTCAAATGTTAGGAGATTTATGCTTGATGGATAATTAGAATAGAAATCTCTATCCCACTAAGTGTCCCACTAAAATAATATGCTGTACCATCTCCATCCTAGTTTCTTCTTACCTCATTGTTTACTGCTCTGCCAATGTGTAAAAACCTCA